ACCTCCAGGAAGTACAAGTTCGAATTGAAAAAATCATCTTGATTCGGTTGGACCCTTATCAAGGAAGGCTTTTAGCAATAAAAGATTAGGCGATAGAGCCAATAGGAGCAAAGAATTAGTGGGATATGTGGAAAAGCAAGGAGAATTATTCATCTTTGAGGGTTTCCGTTGCCAAATAGTTCAAGATAGCTGAAGAAGTATGTATAAAAGAATTCTTCTTTGAATAATCTAAACAAATGGCCGCGACAGTACAGGTCTATCGTTTAAGATTAAATAACACACATGCATCGAAATATTTCCTATGGCAAATGAACAGTTGCCATCTCCGTTTTTTGCAGCTTATAGTATTACTAGCTGTGTCAGGGACTTCGCACCTTCTCGTTGTTCTTGCAAGTTAATCTTAAATAGTCGCGGACTTATTGTTCTGACCGATTTAAGAGAAATCATTCTTTCATACATATTTTTAGTGTATCTTGAACCGTTTTCGCAGCGTAAGATTGGAAACCCTCGAATACAAATAATTTTCCCCACTTTCCCACAATTCCCGCTGTTTCTTCGCTTCTATTAGACACATCACCTTTATATATAGACCTATAGCCTTCCTCGATAAATGCTCTAACCAACACAAAAATAATTGTTCAATTCGAACCCGTATTTGATGAGATTAGCGCGTTCAAACAAACAAACTATTCAGCTTTATAAATTAAGTACATAAGTATAGATTGCAACTATTTACAGTTATAATATAGTTAATATCTGATATCTAACTACACACAACAACAATAATGTTTCCCTCACCATAATATATTAATTAGGAACTAAAACAATATTTTTACGCTTAGTCAAGTGAACGCTGGTGGATTAAAGTGCAAAAGGTTGAGTTCTTTGTTTCACGTTTAGTGGAATCGGTACTTAAATGTTTAACCTCAATTATAAAACAATGCAAAATACGCAACGATGAAACTGCCCCAGATTCACGCAATATATGTAAAAGAGATGTTTGTATACGTCGATATATCTTACATAGACATAACATGTATATATTACTATCTATATATGTATATAAGGCAAGTGGATTATAGCGGATTTATTTGCGTCGAATTGTATGTGCGTTGTGCGTATAGAACACATATAGGTTTTTAACAATATAGGAGGACGGACAAGGAGTTAGCTTGATGGTAGCTGAAATATTCCAGTCATATAACGTCTAATCAAGATGTGCTGAACCATTTTGTATTTGAACATTCGGAAATCTACAGACAGATACTAAAACGCGAATAAAATTCACGACTCATCTGTGGACGGTGGTTTATCAGCCGGACGGAATTTCGATCATACTACTGTCATTTAATATGCAGACTTCCAGAAGTCCAGTATGTTTCAGAAAAATTATAAAAAATATTGGGCCCGGTAGGGAAAAAACCCACGAAGCGTTGATTGTTACCATAGTCTGTCTATAATACTAATGTCAGTCAATGGATAAAATATGATGCACCATATTTAAGGTTCTATATCTAAACAGTGAAAGCGGAACCATTTCCTGAATTGGTAACAGTTTGTCAGTGTGCTCGACCAACTTCTTTCTCAAGAACCGCAGTAGGAGTGTACCCCTGTAAAATCCACTCCGGGCGTAGATTAAGGGTAAATTGAATCAAATAGACAATTTTTTGTTTTGTTTCATATCAATAAACTGGAAATGTTTTCGCAGTGCACGCAACGGAAGCCCTCAAAGATGAATGATTTTCCTTGTTGTTTTTCCCCACCGTTTCTTCACTCCTATTGAACGCTGCGTGATATATAGATATATAGCTATATAGCCTAACGCCTTTCTAGATAAATGTTTCAACGAACACAATAAGAATTTTCAATTCGAATTAGTAATTCCTGAGATTAGCGTTCAAACAAACAAACTAACTCTTCTGCTTTATAATATTAGTGTGAGTGACATCAACTTTCTTTTTAAAATGTAGATATTGGCTTTGCAAAAAAAACTATTATCTAGTGATCACTTGCATACATTTGAAAACATTAAATTTTTCACATGTTATTGCACATGAAGGCACTATATAATTTAAAAATCGAAAATAAATTGAAAAAATTTTCGACTCGGGCAGGACTTGAACCGGCATCGTCAGCTTTCCGTGCTGTTGCTCTACCAATTGAGCTACGATCCTACACCTCATCGTCGAATTTTTTCAACTTATTGATACATGCACCTCTCGCGCAATGTAATTTCTACCTTAACACTTGCGTATTAAGGCTCAATGTCTTATGCTTTGCAGCTTAAGAAATCATTGAAGAGAAATTACAAAGTTAAAGTTTGAAAACATTAATATTTTTCACATGTTATTGCAATGAAGGCACTATATAATTTAAAAATCGAAAATAAATTGAAAAAATTTTCACTCGGGCAGGACTAAATCGTCAGCTTTCCGTGCTGTTCTCTACCAATTGAGCTACCGAGTCCTACACCTCATGTCGAATTTTTTCAACTTATTGATAATGCACCTCTCGCGCAATGTAATTTCTACTTTAACACTTGCGTATTAAGGCTCAATGTCTTATGCTTTGCAGCTTAAGAAATCATTGAAGATGAAATTACAAAGTTATAACGTTTGAAAACATTAATATTTTTCACATGTTATTGCACATGAAGGCACTATATAATTTAAAAATCGAAAATAAATTGAAAAAATTTTCGACTGGGAGGACTTAACGGCATCTCAGTTTCCGTTGTTGCTACCAATTAGTAGAGTCCTACACCTAGTGAATTTTTTCAACTTATTGATACATGCACCTCTCGCGAATGTAATTTCTACCTTAACACTTGCGTATTCAATATATTTTATTATATTATTTTTCAATTTATTTTCATTTTTAAATATATAGTGCCTTCATGTGCAATAAATGTGAAAAATATTAATGTTTTCAAACGTTATAACTTTGTAATTTCATCTTAATATTTCTAATGCAAAGCAAAAATAGCCTAAAGAAGTTTAAGGTAGAAATTACATTGGCGAGAGGTGATGTATAATAAGTTGAAAAAATTAATAGGTGTAGACTGATAATTGGTAGAGAACAACGGAAACTAGATTTTATTGATTTTAAATTTTTGATACAATTTATAGGTCTAAAGGTCTATGCCGATCGGAAACCTTGATCTACTTTAAGACTCCGCTTCGCCCCGAATTATGATGAAAATGTGGCGGGTTTCATTTTTCGCTCGTTTGTATTGTTTCCCCGCATCCGAAGCAAAGAAATGCCTGTTATTAAAGTGTAGTTCACTTAGAATCTGTGCAATTCAATACATTGCGTTGATGTAAAACTCTTGGTTGTGTGAATTTCTGTTTCCCCCCTCCCCATGTCCCCACAGGCGTATACACACATCTGTGAATATGTTTCAGATGAACACATTTCCGCCGTAATAAAGGATTTTTAAGGGTAAGTACTCAACACCGGGGTTTCGAACACAGGACCCTACTGAACACAATGCAAGGTAATTCGTTTAAGTATTGAGCTACAGAGGTGGTTTCAGCTAAATTTGTTAATGAGACCTTGTGATAAGCACGCGTGGGAGCGATATTGCACAAAGTTTTATTATGCCGCGAGAAAATAATTCCCTTGTATTTTGCGCTTGCACGTTTAGACTTCAGTAAATAATTATTATACGGATTTGACTCCATGAGGTTGTTTGTAAGATAAGCATTTTTTAAAATGTCAAAAACATAACATATATTGACGGGCTCGTTGGTAGCGATGTATGGCTAATAGTGGATTCGATTCCCACTAGATCTAATATGTTCCTTTTGTTCGACTTAGTCTGGAAATCTGGAACGTATGGGTCATAAACCACCGTCCACAGATGAAGAAGGCAGTAAAGCTTAATCGCGTTTTGGTTTCACCCGGATGGTACATCACCTACCATCAAGTGAATCACCATACTTGTCTGTCCTATCTTTATATTGATGACAGAGACCATTAAAAAAAAAGTACACTTGTACATAACACTTAAAGAATAAAACTTAAAGATCCAGGTGAGTTCCAGATTAAGGTGTCTTTAAGAATAAGCGAACAATCGCCATTGTTTTCTATATCCTGTAAATATTTGTGACACTATTACTACACTACCGTCATCAAATGGATTATTGCAAGGACTTAGATATTCACGTCTTATTGTAGTTTTATAGTTCCCAGTTTTGGGATGTAGGTTGGTCTTAGTTTAAATTTTGATAGCTTACTTTTTATATGTAATGGCTCAAATGAACACAATGAATTTGCACATACTGAGAATTTCTTTTTGCACACCAAGATACTACAAAAACAAAAATAACTATAGATAATTTTAGTAAAAAAAAAAGGAAAAAATTAGTTACCTGCCTACTACATAAACATTTTTCATGATAGAGAAGAAAAGATAAAGAAACCGAAGTGCGATTAAACTTCACTCACAGCCAAATGATTGTGTTTATTCCTACCACCCCTTAAATGTCCAGGTTACCAGATAATCTTTAACATGCTTCAGAAACATGATAAGTTAAAAACCTTGAGGGGATTAAACTCAAGATACATTGATTATTGGTAACTTTGCTACCATTAGACCAGGACCAATCAAACTTGATATGAATATAATTGTTTGATACTTCTTGGATAGTATCAGTAAATGTTTGGGAGATTAAAAAAACAATGAGTTGCATTTTGCTCTAGTAAGTTCTGTATCCAGATAATCTAAGTGCGTTAAAAACTTTTAAAAGTAATCATTATTTGAAAAACATGCTGGTATTCGCTGGCATACATTGTCTAAGGTTACTTTTAACCTATTGAAAATTAATTAATAATTAAAAAAATTAATTGTATATGTCTGAATACAATTATGAACATTAATATTATTTACTACAAATACAGAATACTTTCAATATACCTTCACTACCAGTTCTCAGAATAAGTGGGTAGAATAAACACGGAAAAAAATGGTTATAAACCCACATTATAATTAGTCTTACCTCATATACGTTGGGATGCCACACTTTTGTTAAAAACCTCACTGTGGGTGGCGAATATGGATAATCCGAAGGGAATTTCATGTGTGCCTGAAACAGTATTCTTATATATAGGAATCCTTATTAATAGGAATGTACCTACGATAAATGTAGCATTCAATCTTCATTTAATATATTATTATTCATTTAATTAATTATTTTAATGTCAATTATACATACGAATTTTCATTTTATATTAACATAAGTTATCAAAAAAAATTATAGTAATACTGTAGATTTTAATTCAAACATGAATTTAGAACTCTTTTCACACTTAACACTAAGGAAGTATAGTAATTAAGGTTTATGCTTTTTTAATCAGTTATTTGCAACTTTTTGCAATAATTTGAAACACATATTAATTTATATGACTTGAGTGTTTTTTATTTTTTTCGTACCTTGAAATATCCACCTTGGTACAAAGTGTCGGGCGGTCCAAATATTGCCACTTCCCACTCAAACAAATTGTCCTCTCCCAACAGTTTTACTCTAAACCCTTCGACGGGTTCCTCTTGTAGACTTTTGTATTCTAAGGCCAAAGCCCTCAGAGCAGAACTCGTTGGCACGGTACTAGACATTTTACTAACTTTTTGTCCTAGATTTCACAAGTTTAACACTAATATTGCTATCTAAGCGTTGAAATTCTATTGACATAACACACTACTCTCGGAGTCCACGTATTCACGAGGCATTTCTACCATTCGAGTCACAAAAACAACTAGCGAATTTAGGTAAACATCGCTACCTCCCGCATTCAGTTATGAATCACGCACTGCTATACCGTTAACACTTGAAATCGTTATAAACTATACGAAAATAAATATTCTTCGACACAAAGAATATTTAAAACAATAGGAGAACGAGTAATCTATTCGTGACTACGTTTCTGGCAGACGGCTGCGTCTTTATCGAATACAGCTGCTGTCTTGCAACTTGAGTTGCCCGAGCGAATATTGTAGAACAGCTGTTAAATTATTTTCGTGCTTGATTGTGATTGCGCAGTGATGTGACGCACGCGGCCATTATTGACTTCCACAGATAGTAACAATCGAAGACTGCAGTTACACTACAGATAAAAACATTTTTGCAATCAAATATTAAAAAGATTTTACTTTAAGCTGCTTATAGTGACATCTAGTGTTAAATAATAAAAACTATGCTTAACTAACTAGACTACGCATTGCAAAAGTTAAACAAATTATTTATAGATGGCGCTACATGTTCAAATGAACACTAAAATAGTTATTGATGTATGAACGAAGACAATAAATCGCTTTTTTGTTGCAACGACAACCTAGAAACGTATGAGACAAAATTTGAAAACTATATTTTTATCAACTTTGGCTACAAATTTTTAAACTGATTAAAATCTGCTTGGCTTGACGACGTCAATCTTTATTAGGTACCTACCTACAACCGACAAGCTGCCGTGCTACCGTAAAAGTAATAAAGATTTTGTTTTATTGTTAAAAATAAATATTTTGTTTTAAATCGATTCGATTTATATACATATAGAATATTATTTGGTTGAAATCTGTGGTTTGGTTGACTATAAAATCTTTCGACTTTCGACCATGAAGATTTAGATTTTCAATTTACGACTTTAAGTCGTACCCAAACCCGGTTATTGAAAAAAAAGATAAACCTTGCATTCTGCACAAGCGCAATGAAAATTGTAGGAAACTATAGATATAACACGGTACATATATAAGTAAGGACAAGCTGGTTGTATGCTTGAATGTAAACTAACTACAGAGAAAAATCACGTTATGCGTTGATAAAAGTCTCCCAATGCTCTAAATTATATTTTATATGATTAGTTAAATGGTAGATATTTGTAAAAGCTGTATATTCATGTATGTTTATGTAATATTTGTGCTGATATTATAAATTTACTGTACAGACTATATATCTTTTTAAGGAAAGGCATATGCGAAGAAGATGCCAGTGCTATTAAAAGATGATGACAGTTCATTATGTAAATGTCGACCTATTTCCAAGCGTTAAGAAAAAAAAATGAACTCAATACTTTCTTGATGTGATCTGACATGACAAGAGCTTGGTAACATTTTGAGGTAAATATTAATGTACCATTAGTAGTAGTATTCATTTGTTTTTTCATTTTAAACTTGCAAGAAAGATTTTTAGAAACGTGCTTCTAGCGCAGCTTTGAATAAACCTTCATAGGCAGTCAGGCTTTCCACATCTGTTAATTAATCAAGTAACACTTGTTGTGTACCATTGTTCGTATTGTTGGTCGTATGGTTGTCGTAGCCAATAGGCTATTAGACAGTACAAAAAATATAGGGTCAATTACTCTTATCAGTATTAAGTATAAGTTAAGAAATAGTATCATAATAAAACCGCAAATAAAAATTTACTTTCATAAACTTTTGTCGCTCCTCATTCGTCACGTTTATGTCGACGTCACTTGCTTATAAACAGTGCTATAAACCACTGTGCTTTCTTGTGTTAAAACTGATCTATTCTTTGCATTTTTAAATAAATAGACTTGAAACTCATTTTTTTTTTAATCACTGTAAATATATTAATGTTTAGTACAAATACATGTAGATTGTATCTCATATTATGATCGACATACACCAATGCCGAATACAAGATCTTGACGTCACTAGCCGTATTGCAGCGTTATTTCGAGCGATATTTTAATTTGATATATTTCAGCAAATATGTATCAGAATTCTAAAATACGACTTTTCTGGGGTTGTTTTACGTGTATTATGTATATTTCAAAAATCCAGTCAAATAGCCCATTGTGTACGTCACGAACGCCTCTTTGATGAAAAGTCAATGTTATTCGAGGAACTAATTCATTGATTTTTACGACCTCGACAACAGTTTTGTCGATTGAACTGGCTTAGAACTAAATCGAATGTTCTAATAATACTTATGTTAAAGCTATAAGCTTGAACACAAAAGTATCATACGGCAAAATAATGACCATCATAGGGCCACAATTTATTTCAAAAACACTGTATTTAAATACTGTCTGTAGTTTAGGCGAGTAGTACACATTTAAATAAAACATTTTAACGGTTTAAAACGCGATAATATTAGTTAAATTTGTTTGAAAATTATTATAACTACTGTCTCCCCGTGATCACGGTTGCAAAGCATCCGAAACGTCGGGCCGCAGTGAAAATAATTTTCCAATAAGTTTATTTAAGACATATCGCGTTTAAACCGTTAAAGTGTTTTATTTAACCACTGAATTTGTATACGAAATAAATATTTCTTGTTAACTTATTTTATTAGCTTTTGGAAGAAAAAAGCTCACATTTATTTGGAGTTATAGTAGTTTCGGAAACTTTATAATTTATCACCTGTTATTGCGCATAATGTTCCGTGCTGCTTCAACCTAATTAAATGGTAGGACACGGAGCACGGATCGCTTTGGATGCCGTTTCAATCTAAATAGAGTTTAAATTTCGTAGTCGAACAGACTTTACAGTTGAAATTATATATCGAGGCATATATTTTTTTATGAAGGACATATGAGACTGCTAATATAATAACAAAAACATGACTTTCAATAAGGCGAAAATGAATTCAACTATTATTTGTGTAAAAAATATGTTAGCACTCTTTTGTCGCTATGCTCTTGTAGATTTACATTTTTAGACTATGAAAATATAAATAACTCAAGTCGTAAAAATTGCAGTTAGGCTACTCTGCCTCTAGAGGCCTCATATAAGCTAAGGGTTCTGTCAATGCCGAGTGAAATACAAAATAATGCGCTGTCGAGTTTGGTCAACCGTGAAGGTCAACTAAAAGTGTTCGGAGAAATTATATTTATTGAAAAACCTTAAAAAGGTTATTTCGCGTTAATCACTTAACAGCGATATTCATATGCAATCAGAACGTGGGTGCATGATTCAAAAAGCGACTCGCCCACGAATCTCTAGAAAAGGCATTGACAGTCTTGTGCAACCCACGGCTTTGGATAATGTCTGTGGTTATGAAGGTTTCGTGTACCGTATTGTTTTGAAAAAACCGATTTATTATTTATTTTAAACTAGCTGTGCCGGCGACTTCATCCGCGTTACGCGTAGAATAGTTTGGGCATCCAAATTTGTTATCCTTTCAATGATAAACACTTCTCGTCGTTTTTTCACTTTTCTCGCTGTTTCTTCGCTCTTGTTAGTCACAGCGCGATGTTTTATAGTCTACAGCTTTATTTTAGTATAGATCTAAAAAATCACTTCTAAAGTGTAACCTAGAAATAAGTAGTAATTAGTACTATATTTTTAATCGCCAGTCAGCTGTTAAACAGCTGATCGATCTCAATTTGCCAACGCTAAAAACTTTGCAACGCCTTTTTGTTAACACGCAAGTAAGATAATAATTATAAATATTTCCTAACAGTTAAATGTGTAAATTAAATACACATTTATTGAACAATATTGGTGGCGACCTTATTTCTTTGCATGTCTTGTAGATTTTAATTCCAGTTTTTGCTAGTAGTAAATATTAAAGTATATAAGAAATAAAGGCATTTGAAGTGTTTTTACATTCGATACAAAATAAAACTGAATGGTTTCTGCTGTCACGGTTGTTTAATCACGATTTCAACTGGAAAGGGTTACGCGTATCGTTAAGTAATTCTATGCCTTTTTTGGTGTGACTTCAGCAATGAGATGTGAACGCTTACGTGTCGTGAAGGTCTAGTGGGCGCTGCGATAATGGGAAGGCGCGAGGGGGGCACGCAGCTACAGCGCTCAGACTCCGCGAGCCAGTCGCAAGCGGCGCGCGCGCAACTAGCGATACACGAAAACGAACGACTCTCGCGAAAAGTTTATTTATTTACCTTACATGGCAAGTTTGATTTAATTATGTGATAAGACTCGTTTAAGATTATTTAACCGTTCGCTTTTAAGAATTATTTACGAATCTCATAGATTTAAATCGTTTTAAAGTTTGAAGTGACATCATAATGACTATAAAAAATAAAAAGACTAAATCTGGTACGTCCGAGGTGACGTCTAAAAGTGCCTCCACCAGCGTGCAGAAGTCTAGCACGTCCACATCTGTCCAGAAGAGTAGCAACACCTTACAGAAGGTGACTTCATCCGGCAAGAAGGTACGCTACATCGATGTGAAGGTTGAGGAAGATGACCCGCTGATGATTACAGATATCAGCGATCATACATCTGTGAGCGGTTCTACAATATCAGAACACTACAATAGCCACCCCCACTATATTATTACGGAGGCTCCTTCTATGTCCGATCTGTCTCAGGCGAGAACATCACAAGAACATCATGTAAGCGACATGGCTCAGTCCACCTCCGGTGAGTTTGTTTCGAGCTCAGTTTTGCAATCTTCTTCAACATCACAACAGCAAACGTCGAAAAGTGAAACTTACCAGTCATCGTCAACTTCAATCCAACATTCAGATTCTAGCCATAGCCAGACTTTCGATAGAACCGTTGATTCTTCAACCGCGAATCAGACTTTGAACACTGCGTTTATTGACAGTTCAGGTCACCAACATACTGACTCCAGGAACTCATTCCTATCTAGATCTCAGGGCGCTAACGCCACCGACTCGTTTATTCAATCGGAACGTCAAAATTTATCAAAAACTCAATCCGGATACAACTCTAATGTAAGTCAAGACTCGTCTACCAGCAACGTGAATGTTCGCGAGAATGAACGCTATGTCAACGTGCCATCTGGATCCAACACCGTAAATACCACTAAATCGGGTCCTAATAATTTATATGGAGGAGATGGCACCATTGATAGAAATACCAACACAAAAGAATATACCAACACTTCACATTCCAGTCAATCAAAAAGTAGTAATGTTACTAAGTCATCTTCTTCGTCATACGTTGTCGAAATCGTTGATGGAAAGGAACGAATTGTTGATAGCTCTAAGAGAGAATGGGGTGACGCAAAAGAACATGCTACAAATGAACAATATGCTAGTATCAGTGGAACAGACATAAAACCTGAGTCTGTTTACAGTTCTCAAAATTACGATATGAAATCAAAATACGACACAGGAAAAGATGGAGCCCGTCCCATTAATGAAATGACAATAAGAGAAGACTCTAAATTAGTTAAAGACGGAAAACAAGTAACTAGTCACGAAAGCAGCATATCTCAAAAAGGTGATTCGATACAACAAAATTATTTATCAACACAAGAACAGATTGATTCTAGAGATCATTTACAGAGTAATGTTTCGGATAATATGCGCACAATACAATCAAATAATCAAAATATACATTCTAATACGACTACACAAAACGACAACATACAATCTTCGTCAACATACCGAAATGTAGATCAGAGAGATGTTAGAGAAAACATAACATCTCGTCATGAGACTACAAATAATCAAATTACTACAAAGCGTGATATGAATAAAACAGATTCGTCAAACTTTTATGGTTACGACGCTACTATCCAAGACCAGCTTAGGAAGGTAGGAGATATCCTGCAAGTCCCAAAAACAGAACACATAAACTATTCTACAAAAATATTGAAAAGCAATACTAGCAGTGCACAACAAGCATCTTCATCATCTTATGTATTTGAAGTGGTGGACGGACAACAAAGAGTGGTTGATAGCGCGCACAGAGAATGGGGTGACAGTAAGGATCACTCGACGTATGAAAAAAGTCATAATATAAGCGGAACCGGGATAAAACCCGAACACGAATATTCAAGGCATGTTTTAGATAAAGAGTCGTATTATGATACTGGTAAAGATGGTATTCCTAAAAGTGCTACACAAATAGCTGAAGAGTCAGCGGTATACAAAAATGGTATTGAAATAGCCTCCAAGAAAAATGTTTATTCCAGTGATTTAACTAAAAAGCCTGCCATTACTGAACATCCAACTGATACAGGAGATGTACAAATGAGATCGCTGGTTAATCAACCAAACACTGATTACAGCAATATTCGTAAAGACCAATCAAGAGATGTTACGTCACACACTCAAGATTCTAATGATATAAGAAAGACAACTGAGCTTATTACAAGTGAAAGGAAGAATGTTTCAGAAGAAACCACATCAAAGAGTACCAGCGAAACAAAAGATACTCTAACTACATATGAAAGGAGTACGGGCACTTGGAATGGAAAATTTACATATGAAAATGATGATGACAGACCAAAACGTCCGAAACAAGTGTCACCATTCGGTAGACCAGAACAGCCTCGTCACCATTTAAAACGTCAAGACACTGAAGAGAATATAATATTGTCATCAAGAGACATTAAAGATTTTACGTCCATCAGCGATTTGCGCAAGATTATAGAAACCTCACAGACAAATAAAGACGTTACTGTGAGTAACAAGAATATTGTAATAAGAAGAAACATCGACGACAGAGTTTTGAAAGAAATTATTGACACCGTAAAAAAATACCCCTTCAAACGAATTGATAAGGTGACTTTCGGAACAAGGGTAAAAGAGGATGTCAAAGATCTTTATGAAGGCATCGATACTGAAGATACAACCGTTTTGACTACAACAACAGGAGAGAAAGTTAAGAAATCATTTGAAGTCGATAAAACTCGAAGTCAAATCGAAGTAACGCGTTACATAACGGAGAATGGAATCACGAGAAAAGAAACTACATATGAAGACGCGAAAGACGACGAAAAAATCAAAACGAACGTTTTCGTCGACAACAGCTCGTTAGACATCAGAAACTTGGTAAGATATAACTCGTATGATTAAATATTTGTGACCAGAATCATATATTTTTCATATTATGTTTGAATTTTAGAAGGATGTCCACACAACGAATATACAGGAATACGACGTGGTAGACCATGCCATTACTGATACCACAAGAGAAGATATCGTCAGCACTGTTTACGATGAGACCATTATCGATAATAGGAAAACAGTGCGTGATGATAAAACAACGATCCACGAGACGGTCCACAGAGATGAAACAAGACCGAGACCCGGTGGTCCTAGGAAGCCGGAGAAGACTTGCAAGGAGCAGTGCATCTGTGAAATATGCACCTGTGGGTGAGTAATTACAAATTCATATGTTTATTTTTCTATAAGAGAATCTAAGATTTTAATAAACAGATATATATGTACGACTGTATGATGATGATTTGTTCTCTGAATCTTAGAAGGTCAAAAGACTCACTATTATGTCATGCTTGACTCCAGGAAAAACTTTTAAGACTTGTAGGTGTTTCAATGTCTTAGCTCAGTCTTACGAAAAAAAATACCATTTTTGTATCTAGTTGCTTATCATAATCGTGGGAAATAAGATAAATAACTATGAAAAACAATTCGGAAGAATTCATAAAATTACATAAAATTTTGATACATATTTAAATAAAACACTTTAACGGTTTAAAACGCGATATATTAGTTAAACTTATTTGGAAATGATTTTTAACTTCGGCCCGTGACCACGGCTGCTGCAAAGCATCCGAAACGTTGTACCGAAGTTAAAAATCATTTCCAAATAAGTTTAACTAATATATCGTGTTTTAAACCGTTAAAGTGTTTTATTTAAATGTGTACTACTCGCGTAAACTATAGACAGTATTTGATACATATTTCTTTAGTTAATAAAGCAAATGCAACGACAAACAAACAATCTTTTTGAACCAAGTCTAGTTGGACATTTAAACAAATTTTAGTACTCTCCTTCACTGGCTTTTTAAGATTCATTCGTCGAATTAACAGTGTACATAGTAACGCTACCTACTGCTACATATTTCCATAATTTAATTTCAATGATGGAATCATTAACTATAAACTAATAAGTCTATATTGTAAATGATTCGTCAATGTAAATAATTGATGATCACAATTTCAGTATCTTCTGCGTTCGCGCATGACATGTAGGCAAATAAAGTAATTGAATCATTATACAACATACAAATATAATCTTAAAGACGTGTAACGATATGATAAAATTCCTTTTATGCAGTTAATACCTGTATTTCTTTCTGCAATCAAATTTTTCAAATAATTTATCAATCAAAATGACATTTCCTATCACATCCATATAACAAAATATATATAACTATTAAATAACTCCATATATAGTATACAATTTAAAGTATAGATATTTTAAGGTACAAGGTGATTTTTTAAGATGTTTTTATCTCACTAAAAGTAAGATAATGAAAGAGACAAGAAATATATTCTTATCTACATTTTATCTTTTGTTTCTGAGCCGTTGACCAAAATAACTGAGCTGGTAAATAAAGGTGGATCTTGTTTGAGTCAAACTTTTATTTGCATTTTACGGAATCACTTTTTAAGGAATTTGCAGTTCGTTTACCTCTATAGAGCAAAGCGAAAATATATAATTTTAAATGCATATATTAATATAAAAAATACAAACACATGTTTTGGCTAGCGTGTTTAGCTCAAAGTTATGATAAATTATTCTAATGCTAAAGTTTAATATAACTGAGTCGCAAATGACTCTTCTGTGTCCACACTTAACGGTTTGAAACTAGCAATATAAATCTTGAAGGTACTGATTTCATTAATTCCAATTATTATGGTGCTTGTTAGTTATTCTTCATTAAAAAAGTCTTATGCACTTAAAACAATTAATAAAACACTTTCAACTGTTTAAAATCCGAAATATAACGCTTCCATAAAGAAAAACTTTAGTGTCATTTAAGAAGTACTAAAAAGTCTTAGACATTCCATCTAGTCATCTATTGTACAATAATGTATTAGGTAATAAGCTGTTTGCTTCTCGAAGATAAGACTAATGATCCTACTTTAAAGGGAATGTCTGGTCGTTGCGTCACTAAGGATACATGTGGCGCCTACACATAGTCCATTATTTCTATCAGCTTGTCGATATATTTCTAACTTATTACCACTTTACTGCATGACATCATTGATGACCGAAAGTGCATGACTGTTTCTGTCACCGCTTTTAGATGAATTTTATTTGACTTTCCGTTTTTACGACGAAGTGTATAGTTTGTTTGTACATGTATGTATATCGTTGTCTGATGCCTAAAATACCGTACTACTGATTTTTGGTAGATATAACATTCTTTCCGTTTTTGGTCTCAATAACGAAGCTAAGACGAAGTGTATAATTTGTTTGTATATCGCGGTGTCTGACTTCTAAAATACTATACTACTGATTGTTAGTGGATATACAATTCCTTAAATTGTGTATGTTAACGCCCATCCAGTTTAAAAATCGTTATATTCATATTGTGATTAGAAATAGACACGTTGAAATAGTTAAGTGTTAGTAAAATGACATTGGAATAAGTAAATGACTGAATAAATGTGTAGTCGTGTTATTGTAGCGTGACCTTGACGTTTTTAGTTGCTAAAGCGTTCACAAGAAAAAACATCGATTTCAACTACATTCCCTAAAAAAATTGCGTTTTTCAAATGTGACTCTCATTTTACTGCAATAATTTCAATTTTAACGGTTTAAAATGCGAAATGTATAAGTCATTTAAACTACGGCCCGAGGTTTCGGATGAGTTGCAGAATTTTAGCAGTCATGTTTAAAATAAATTGTAAACGATTTAACTAATACATTTCGCTTTTAAAACTGTTAACGGTGTATTAAAATGTGTACTATTTGCGTAAACTAATGACAGTACTTAAATATTTTTTTGTGTTTTACCTCGATTACGAACAAACGGACATCTGAATAGGTTTATGTTATTATTTGAGACATTTATGATCAAGAAAGAGACTTTAGTTTTTAGCTGGCAAACCACCAGGGAAGTTATTAGAGAAATAGAAGTTACTATAACTAAGGCAGACACATTACTACAATGTACAACAACAAAATACACGTTGTTATTAGTGTACAATGTATGAAATCAAACTGTAGATGCAATTAAACATTTTCTACTGAAACGAATAAGATTCCATTAAAAATATAACGAATATTGATATGCCTAGGTATTCATGAGTCACATAATTACAACATGCGCATGACTTCTCAAGGTCAACTCAAAATCGCTATATGAAGAGTGATTCTTCTTTCAATGATCTAAAAAATATCCGCGATATGTCTCTTAAGATAAACTCGAAAGACAGAGCGCGAACGACGTCGTGGCTTAATATAATAATTTATAAAGATGAAGACGTAGTTTGCAAAAATAAAATATATAATGTCCAAAATACCATTTACAGGAACAAAATATATCTATTTGTATTTTGTAGTCGACAGTATAGATTGTGCCTAACCCTTTGAGTAAACAGGTCCTAAACACACTTACATAGAAAATTCTTAACGCTAAATTTAAACTAACTTTTATATAATCAATTTCAACTAAATCCCGACGTTTCGGATGTATTTCGTTCACGGGGGCTAAAGATGGAGGCAATAGATTCCGCGCCTCAAACCTTTATTTTATGTTTACTATTTGCGCAAATTATAGACAATATTTAGTCATACAGATAGCTATATTTTGTTTTCCAATTACCTGTCTACGTCAAACATCGAGAAATTAAAAATTTCTAAATTATAATCATAAGAAACTAAACAAGAATTAAATATATAACCAGAAGACATAAATTATAAAGTTTAACTTATCGTTCCTGATGAGAAGATCTTGTTGTACCCAGTTCTCAATTCAGACCAGTGAGAAATCGCAAACTGGTTTACAAATCCGGATAGCAATTTGCTCATAGTTTTTACAATAATGCCACAGAACTAGAGCTACTAGAACCGATTAGATATACTATGCGAAAAATTAGACATTGCATAATAGAGGCTGCAGTTGCAGTAAAATTGCAGTTAGGCTACTCTGCTTCTAGCGGCTTCATATTTATTATTCAGATAACTCGCAAAATTTTGCATACATCTGGGCGCGTCTTTAAATTTTGTGCAAGAGATAAGAGATGAAAAAACAACGTTATCATTATGTAATTGTTGTAATCTCGATTGTAATAAATTATCTACTGCTCTTTCACGGATTAGGTTATGCAATATCAATTAATTTAATTATTAATCGGTTTAAAATTATGATAGCACTAGCGTAGCGTGGTAGTTATCTAGTGTATCTGAAACGCGAACCTACGATCGTTCGGAGATCTATCAGGTTTTAAATTGATTTTTAAAAATTGTCTGTGCCATCGACCATGTTAAAATAATATTACTTTTTCTTCTTAAATGACAGAAATTTACTTTTACGAAAGATATTCAAACGAAACACGAAAAAGTACTTTGGATTGAACAGGTGTTTCTCATGAACAAAGCGTGGACAACGAACTTTATATCGCATAGTTACGTAACGTTGAAAATAATCCTTGATTAACAGTTATCAACGAATACGTGACAATATTATTTTATCCATTTTTTTAAATATAAATAAATCAGTATTTTTAATTAAGTTAAATAATATTTTATTGGAAATAGAGGTTTAGGGAGGGCCGAGCAATCAACGGAACGTGGGTTCGATTCTCACCAAGACTAACATGTTTTAAATTGTTTTTTCTTAATCATTCTCAAACACTTTACACAAAAATAATCTAGATATTTAAATGGGTGGTAGGAAAATCTAAATTCCGTCTGATTCACGAACGCCACCCACAGAGAAAAAATTCGTGACGTGTAATCACGATTCAGTTTCAGTCTGTAGATTTTCTAATATCCAAAGCCAAAATAGGTCGACACCAATCTTATTTTGATGTGGCTGGCGTAATCCACCTTCCATCACAAGAGAACTCCATACTTGCTATAAATAATTCGTTGCTTTAGTTAAAATAAAGCAATAGTCATACCTACTCACTACTAAAAGAACGTTCTCTCGACTTGTAACAGCTATTAATAAACATGCAGTAATTATTGAGTTATTTACCGATGATGACCAATTAAATGATAAATTTATGAGTTTACTTAACATGCGTCACAGTAGGTCTCTAGCTTCGGTCGCACTTTAGATCTAGTTTAAGCGTAGGGTTTGTTGTAAAAAACAAACAAACATAACTAGCGACTAAATTTTCAATGTAGTCTAACAATTGTCGATCATAGTTGAGGAATTAATTTAATTGTGAAA